TATTAAAAATTATTTTTTACGCATAAAATATTCATCAATGCATGTTACTTAAAACTCAAGATTACAAGTAGATTTTATGTAAATACAACTTATTATAATAAATGGTAAATTTGTAAATACCAAATCTAGAAAAAATAAGCAATTTACATTAAAAATGTATAAGGTTTAACTTTTTCTGATTCAAGGATCGAGCCATCCTAACCGGTTTTTCACTAAGAGGCCGTTTACCAAAGTCTTACTTAGGTAAGCGTTTACTAAGTCACATTACTTTACGGATGAATATAATAAGGATCAAGAATCTTACCCGGTAAGAGCGAGACAAAGACCAAGAGTCTTACCCGGTAAGTGAAGACGACAACTCTTACCATAATAAGCGTTACCGGGTAAATTGTTGCATACGATGTCATTTTGGTGGACTAAAATTTTACCCGATAATTAAATGATAGTATTAAATTTTACCGGTAAACGCTTACCGAGTAAGTGTTTGGTAAACGGCCCCTAAGTAAGAAAAAAATTCAGGATATTTTAGATTCGGCCCGTCTTCTTCCATCTCTCATACTCTCTCTCTCTCTCTCTCTCACACACAATGACACAGTCAAAGACGAAAGTATTGATTGTTTATTTGTTGAACGAGTCTTTTCTTTGTTTAATTTAGGGCGATATTGACGAAGTTGGTTCTTGGACAAAATAATTTTCAAAAAAGGACGATAAGAACTCGGTGTCTTGTTTGATTCACCTGTCCATATGTTCAAACATCCGTAAATTTAATGACAAAATCTCTATGTTTTGGTTGTAATTTTCGTTGGAAATAAATTGGAGTTTATTATTGTACGTAATAAATATCAAAAGACATTTGATTAAACATTTATATTTATCAAGGAAGGAGTACAAAGCACCGACTGACACAAATTGTCCCAAGGTGTCAAGAGGAGGCCAGATGAGCACAAATTGCTTCAAAGCGTTGAGCCCCTAAAGTAGTAGACCATAACTCCGATTCAAGAGGTGGACCTATAAAGGCCCCAACGAGGTCCAGTGCATTCGCTCAACCGATTTTTACAAGTGGATTTTTTTCTGGTATGAAAGACGCACAAACTAAACTTTGAGAGTTGCTCTGGAATATCATAAAATATATGGGACATCAACCAAAAAACTGAAAATTCCCTCAAAATCAACCAAAAACCTTAAAAGGTTTCCCGAAATCAACAAAAAAACTTCAAAAATATCTCAAAATCACAAAAAAAAAAAAAAAAAAAAAAACTTCAAAAGTCCCTCGGAATCAATCAAAAAAACTTCAAAAATCTCACAAAATCGACAAAATGAAACTTCAAAAATCCCTCAAAATCAACATTAAAAAAAAGCTTTAAAAATGCCACAAACATGGAATGCAGCTAAAAAGGCATTAGATGGCTTTGTGGATCTTTGATCCACAATAAAGGTGCAACCATTCGGCAAAAATAGCAGGTCGCTATTGTCAGATATCCTGTAAGAACCCCATTAAATTACCCTCCAAAAAAGCATTCGAGGAGAACTGAGGTTCCAACATGTATTAACTAGAAATGACCCAAATCTATCAGACGCGAGACTCCAACATAAGTAAATTAACGAGTTTTTAAACGTTCCAGCTCAATTATTATAGTTTTGCATTTCAATTTTATCGTTGTACAAAGCATTGATTAATACAAGTATCAGAATATTAGCTTCATTACAAAAGAAATAATCAAAGTCTATAAGCTTATTACATTAATGCAATTAGAGAAAGAAAGATGCATTATATACCATAAAACGCATGGTCAAATTCCATTTCAGTTCCTACCAACCAAACGCATGATCAAATTCCATTTCAATTCCTTTAAAGTCAATTTCCTTTAATGGATTCCAATTCCACCAACTTCCGTTTTACGAACCAAACACCCCCTTAAGAGTTTGTCATCTTCGACCTTGGTTCCATGATACTCGGAAATTCCAAGTAGTCGGAGAAAACTTTGTCAGATGAACATGCCATTGATAGCGATTTTACTAATTCCATGTACTTAAACTTGCAACATGTTAATAAATGGTTGATATATGAACAAAGGGATGTGCATAAAACCATGTTCAAGATGTGATTCTTCATTTTGCATACTTGGGTTGGCCTCTATATTCACATGTGATTATGCCATCCTTTGCTTTATGGTAATAGACATGTATATTCATGTCGGTTTAGGTTAAATCAAGTTTATGCCATCTTTTGTTTATGGTAATAGACATGTATGTTCATGCGGGCTCCGCTAAATCAGGTTAAATGGATCAGGTTGTTCGGTTTTGGCTGATGACTAAACCACCTGAGACCCAAACCAAATAGCAAACCATGTGGAACCGAATTACCCAAACCAAATATTAGGCCACTTGGGTTTCAGTCAGTGACGGATCCAAAAACTTTTATTTATTGGAGACACATTTAAGGGTGTCAAAGAATCTCTGAAACATAATAATTCATTCAAACCAATAAGATTTTCGGTTGTTCGGTTTCTGACTCAAACGTTTTAGTTCGGTTTTCGATTATTTTTACTATTTTTTTTTATAAACTGAGACATTATACTGCTATGCACGTATTTTACTATTTCAGTTAAACTAAAAACAAATGAAGACATTACAGATTAGTAGTTGGTAGAAAGAAATCAGAGGGCAAAATAGTAATAACTTAGATTCAGTTAGAAAGAAATCAGATAGCAAAATGCCACGAAATCAAAAATAAAAGACAAACTAATAGCAAACCTTAAACCATAATAACAAACCCAAATTAAATAACAAACTCAAGAACCCTGAATCAAATAACAATTAAGAAATAGAAAATTAATACTCAACAAATAACAATAATTATAAATCTAGAAAACAATAAAATGCAAAATGAGAGTTGGAAAATAAAATAAAATATAATGATTAATCAAATCATTTTTTTATTAACCTGGATATACAACCCGCTATGTGAGCCGACTAATCTCAGAGAGACCACCTGCTTTGTAGATAGCCCGGAGTCACCGCATTTGAAACTCCATGGCCACAAGGGGATTTTTATTCCTCCTTGGATTTGAATCTGAGATCTCCTACTACTTTTGACATTTGGAGCTAAGCTCAAACCAATCAGGCACCACCCTTGTGGTTGATTAATCAAATCATTAGCATTATGACAAACAAAATAGTTTTCAACGGTTTGGGACTTAGAAGTCAAAGGTATTGGAGTTTAACTGATGCTTAAAGTAACGACTCCTTAAAATAAAAGTTGTAAATAAGATGGCAGAGATTCGATTTTGAACCTTACCCTTTAACCGTTAGAGGCCTACTAATAATTTTAGGTTAAATTTTTTTAACCTAAGACTCAATTAGTTGGTGATTTTTTGGGGTTTGTTGGGCCCGTGTGCCTTTCCTATGCATCCGTTATTGGTTTCAATATCTGATGATCCTTTCTGTGAAATTTCCTGCTCTAAGTTTGATACATGTTTCTGATAGCTATGGGTCAACGAGCTAGGGTTTTGAGGAAGTCGTGAGTTGGATTATGGCTGGAAATTTCTCTATGAACCAACCGTGGAGTCGGATCACGTTGACACACTCTAATACATGTTTCATCTTGGGATACATCAAGCTCGTATGCATCTTCTAATGTTTAATTTCTTTGACTTGTTTTGGTAGCAGGAGAGAAAAGGAGTCTTGCTCCTTTTTTGATCTTTTACTTTCAAAAAATATAGACGAAACTAAGGGGCCGTTTATCAAACATTTACCGATACAGTCACATGCTCATTTACTGGGCTTATCGGGTAGGTAGAATAAAATGAAATGGGC